TATCTGAAGTTTGATTTGCTTAAATTAATAACATGTGCAGAAGGATTTCTACCGTCATATAAACACATTTCATTTGGTAATACTTTTGAGAAAACAGAATACATACATGTCATGATCAATGCATTCTACGACTTTCCCAAAAGCGCCTTCCCCTAAAGTAGCAATAACCTCATCTAAAAAAAAAAAGAAACAAATTCCAGCTGTTATTGAATTAGCTGAATAAAGCTGAACACTATTAAGTCTATCATTATAACATTTACTGTCTGCTTCGGAATGTGTTACTTTTATTGGAAAGGTGTCACAAAATAGTTATCTAGCTATCAATCTAACTTTAAGCTTTATTTACTGCTGTGGTTGTCTAAACACCAATATTTAAGAGTACAGAAAAAGAAAAGAAATAGAATACAAAGACAAAACAAAAGATAAAAGAGAGCAATGAAGCTTTCCTAGCCCCGCCCCCACTTTTCATCTAACATACTATTCTAAACAGATGTTTTGCTGACATTTTTTTAAAAAGTGTTGAAAAATATTCTATACATCTTGCTCTTAGTACGTCTCCACTTTGACAGATCAGGTGACCCTCCTCCTCATCCTCTACACTCCTGGATCTTTTCCTTCGGTGGCTCTTCTGGAAACGGCACCAAGATCGTCCAGCCAATCAATATATCAGAGTGAATTCGGGGTAGATTACGCAATTCATTCAGCGGGATATTCAGGCATTCAGTTACACACCAGGCCACGAACAGTTGGCAGGAGCAATTTCAAATTCAGTCCCCAGAAATTCACAGGGCACAGTTTATGTTACAGAAGAAAAACATGGCAAGGAACAGATTTTCAGATAAATACTTAAAGTTGTAAGACAACAGAAACACAACACAATTTTGTCTCTTAAATTTTACATTAACAGAAGATTGAAACTAAGACTATAATCTAAAGTACTTCTACTAGTCAAAAACAATTTTTGTTATTTTTATCTTTATAAAACAGGTCTGATCTCAATTTTTTTAAAAAAATGTAATTTGATTAATATTTATCAACAGGTTATTCATGCAATTATTTATCTTCCATAATTGGACCAGCTAAAGAGAAAAATATTAATAAAATTTGTAAAATTCTGTCTAATATTCTGGTGATATACATCTGCAAGAACGAAGTCTTGCATCTCAACATTTTTAAATTTGAATGTATACAATAAAAGTACTTTTATTATTCATAAAATATTCAGATCTTGCTAACTATTAAAATGATTCATTCTCTAATAATAATAAAATCATTCAATACCTAATATTTGCTTGAAACTATTTCACAGAAACATGATGAATTCATTACAGACATCATATTAATGAACTAATTCCACTGAAACAGAACCATTTTGAAGAATAAGGAACACGCTAGACAAGGTTGCTTCACCGTGCTGTAAGGCTAATTCAAGTAAAGGTAAATCAGCTATTTTTATTTTTTGAGCTGCGAGATAAGAGGCAACAAAGTAATTTGAGTTTTCTAAAGTTTTGGACAAATTAAGCCAAATGAAAACTCATAGTTAATACCATTCACTATAGTACAATCCACATGCATACATACACCATCATACAGAAATAATAAAAATAAAATGCAGACTTCATATCAAATCTTCAAACATTTATATCCTTGAAGTAGCCTAAAAACAATAATATATTTATTATTCTTTTTTAAACCATACATACCGGATGTGAGCTGTAGCTGGGATCGTGTTTCTTATGCTTTCGTTTATGATTCTTTTTCCCACTTTGACCAGATGATTTACTATAATGATGGCAATGGCTCTTTTCATAATGTCTGTGACAATGCTCATGGTCATCTATGTCACAGAAGTCATTTCGATATTCCTCAACATATCTTCGGTCATGATGGTCTCTCTCATGTGTGGATCTATCATCCAAGTAGTTACTGAAAATATATTTACATTATTTCCCCATTTCAAAAAAGTAATTAAAAACAAATATATTTAATAAATGTGTGCAAAATATTTCCATCATGACCTTTTTCAAATTCAAAATGTTTGTTTCATGTTCGAAACAGCTACTCCATGTTTGTGCATTCAAGCTTAAAATATTTCTGAAAGAATCAGAAGATCCTGTTTCGAATGTGAAACATCTGTTTCAAACTCAAAACAAATACAGTATTTCAATCTAGATGAACTGTTTTGAGTTTGAGATGGCTTGGATTTTAAATGTTCTGCACACCAGTAATATTTTCTATATTCTAATAAGCTTCCAAAAATGCACAATATTTTATTAGAATTCCTTTTTATTTAGAGTTCAGATGGAAAACATACCGTTTACTCTATTATAGAAATGAGTGTGTTAAGCTCTTTAAGTAGAGAGTAACCATATGAAAGTTGTTATTATAGCAACTCAAAATTCAGAGCATTAGTAAAAACAGCAAGCAGACATAATTGAAACTTTATAATTACTATCATTATAAAAAAATCATAATCAATGAACTATCCCACCTGAGTGTGTGGATTGCTTATGCTGAGCAACACAAGAACTATTTAGATCCCCAATCCCCAGTTTGTGGACCAGTACTGGGCCGCAGCATGCCAGCAACCGGCCCACACAAACAAGCAAAACCCCATCTGTGGGATGCAGGCAGCACACAAAACCATGCACCCTCCAGGTCCATGGAAAAACCTCTCTCCACAGAACTGGTCCCTGGTGCCCAAAAAGTTAGGGACCTTTGATTTAGATACTTCATCTCATCTGGGATATTCTAAAACAACAAACCCATACACAGGGCAGGATAAGAACATCTCTGAATTCAGCAAACACAAATGCTAAGGAAGGGAGATTGCCCAGCGCTTCAGAAAAATACAGTCATGACTTAGGAAGCTTTAATGTGCAAAGTTTCTTTCCCAATGGCCCTCTCAGTACTCTCCTTCATCCTGAGGACATGTTCCTTCCACAACCCTGTGTCAACAAAATCCTATGTAATTTCATTGAAATTGTAGGGTTTTTTTTACAATAAAATATGTTTTTTATAAACTGATGACAAATTAAAACAAGTAATTAAGCAATGGAGTCACTTTTTTAGCCAACAATTCAACTGAAAATAGGACTTTTAGGAAAGAACAGTGGCAATTGGGAGCTCACAACCAGAGTGAACAAAGAGATGCAGAAGAATTTTGCAAGAGAAGAGTACAGTGACCACTATCTTTGAAGACCAAACATCACTGTAGGTGTATCTATTGGGTAAGGAAGTCAGCGCTTCAAACTCTTTTTGGGTCAAATAATTTCTAAAGAAGAATACTAAATTACCAACAATAATTAGCATACAGATAAAAAGCCATTAATGGAGGGAGTGGTTTCAGAGATGTCAGATGTACAAATGGATCGTGTTCCTGAGTCAAGGGAACAAGCTAGTTCTCTTAAAACTAACACGATAGAACTGGAAATGTTCAGTCAGAAAAAAATGTAGACAAAACCTTCTGAGATGTAATATTTTCCCATGATGACTTTCCTTATCAGGGAGAAGATAGGTCCTGAAGAAGAAAGTTATTAGTTGGAAGATAAGATGTTTCCCATGAGGCCAATGATTAATCCCTATTCTCTCAGACCAAAGATATTTCTTTGGGAATTTTGGATTGTAAGTGATTCTATTAGAACAACAAATAAAAAATACATTTGTAATGTATCTGGTTGCTTGCCTGTCTGATGCAAAACTTGAAATTTTCGTATCCCATCTAGATAAGCTACTCAACAGTGCTGGGAAGGAGGCAGTAGTTGTATCCATACTGTACTGGTACTAATTGTATTAAGAAATATAGTGTGCCATTCTTCATAGCCAAATTTAGGCTGCTTACTAAATCCAGGATGCCATCTTACTAAATGCCAAGTCAGCATTCTCACAAATGTTATTTGCCCTATATGCAGCAGACAAACAATGCTCAGAGGTCCAAATGTATGAATGAGACTATGTCAGGAGAAGAGATTTAAATTTGTTCAATACCAGGGAATATTTTGGGAGGATAGACAAGACTCACCTGAAATGGAACCAGACTGCAGGTACATAACATTACAAATGTACTGGAGCAGCTTTATGCTGAATCCAGACAGCATCTGATTTGGAAGGGTGTAGGAAATACTATAAGAAATAGGGCCATTGTGTAGTGAATTAATGAGTAGTCATGTCCATTGAAAAATTGAAAAAAAAATGAAAAGGATATGAAAAAGGCTTATATCAACATTTGAATACCAACATGTACCTGCTAGCAGTCTCAAAGCCATAAACAAAGATATAGTAGAGAGAATAGATTTGGCAAGAACCAATATAGTAATTTCCAAATACAAACACGATATAATGTTTGGCAGGGCAGGATGTCTTGGAAAAGAGTTTCTCCTTATATATATTATCAGGATTCAAATCTAATGTAGTAGAAAATATTTTTTTTTTTATTTTTTAATTTAATTTATATGCCGCCCTTCTCCCGACAGGGACTCAGGGCGGCGCACAACATATTTAAAACCCGAACATATATACAATCCCCCCCTTAAAACCGAATTAAACCGAATTTTAATGTTGCGTCTTCCGAATATTTAAAACCCAATATAAAATCCACCCTAGGTCAGGTCCGCTTGCTGGAAGAGCCATGTCTTG